CCGCATCCAACGGCCGTGGATGTGAGAGCCGGGGCGCCGGACCGACGGCCACGATGGGCGCTGCAGCGTCTTCCATTGGCACAATCGCATTGTTTTTTCATTGTTTTTCGCCACCACCCGCGGCTATGGCGGATCGCCGTGCGCATTGCGCTTCATGGACGTCGCGTTCGCCACGCCATCTCGCGCCGGGCGCGCTGGCGATGGCCGATCTGGCGGCTTGATCACGTAGGGGAGAATATCGCCTGTAGCCTCGCTCCTTCCAGTAGATTCTAGGGTTTTGGGCGATGGCGGGGGAGAGGCGGTCCGAGGTGCTGCGTCGGCGCCGGCCGCGCCCGGCCAATGCTAGGGATTGAGCTGCTAGCTAGGGATTGTGTGTGTGTGGGCGCGCCTCGATCAGCGAGCTCTCTGGCGGGCTCCAAGTTTTCTTCCCAGGAGGGCGATTCTTTTGCATGACAACGCTCACCCGGGCTTCCAGGCGCTGGCAGGAGAAGAGATTCATCGTCGATAGCGTAGCTACAGCATGGTTAACAAAGGAGTGAAGAAAGTGCTCGACTCGTACACTATCAAGGGGACCAACAAGACCATCAAAGGTACGTGCTTTCCTCAGTGCATGTAGAGAGGAGAGGCAGCATTCTTCGAGAGGAAAGGCATTGATCCAAGAAATGGATTCTTTGGTTTGCTTTCTTTTGCTTGCAGTTGGAGACGCAGTGTTGATGCGTGCTCAAGATCCCGAGAAGCCGCCATACGTTGCTCGCGTAGAGCAGATCGAGGCGGACACCAAGAACAATGCCAAGGTCCGGGTGAGGTGGTACTACCGGCCCGAGGAATCCATGGGCGGCCGGAGACAGTTCCATGGATTCAAGGAGCTCTTTTTGTCGGACCACTACGACGTCCAGAGTGCCGATACCATCGAAGGCAAGTGCATTGTTCATACTTTCAAGAACTACACCAAGCTGGAGAGTGTGGCATCCGAGGACTACTTTTGCCGGTTCGAGTACAAGGCGGCCACGGGAGGCTTCACTCCGGATCGAGTCGCAGTGTAAGATTGACAAAGCTCTCACTTTGGATTCTCTATCTTATGCTCTCTTTTTTTGGGTTTGCGGAAACAGGTACTGCAAGTGCGAGATGCCTTACAACCCGGATGATCTTATGGTGCAGTGTGAGGAGTGCAAAGACTGGTAAGAATCAGTTTCTCTCAAATCCAAAAGCCTTGGCAGCCTCCGATGAAAAAAATGGCAGGTTTCATCCATCTTGCATCGGACTCCCAGTGGATCAAGTGAAGAAGATGGAGAGCTACTACTGCCCGGATTGCTCTCCGCAAGCACAAGACAAGTCCAAGCCCACGGGTCACAAGGTGTCGTCCTCTAAGCCGAAGCTCCCGCAGAAAGTTTCGCCTCCGCAAGAACTTAAGGTACTAAGCTACACGAGAGTGGAAAAAAAAAACTACCTTTTTCTATTTGAAGTGATTGATTTACCTGCAGGTGGATCCAAAGCGGCGAAAGAAGTAATGGCAAGAAGCCTTGGCAGCAGCAGTGGGATGAGTAAAACAGAAAAAACACTTATTTTACTGAGAGCACAGTGTTGTGGCCACGGCAAAAGCTCAAGTGGCTGAGAGAGGGAGAGAGAGAGAGGAGATGTAAAGCCTCTAGCGAGAAGGGGAAGTGACTTGTCTCTGTTGTGTAAGATCATTGCGGGAAGGTGTAAGATCATCTCGAATCTCTGTTATAATCTATAATCAAAGTCACTATTATGGAGAAAGTTTTCTTCTGTTGGTTCAACGGTCTCCTCGTTTTTCGGTAGAACTTACATCTTCCTCGTTTTCCGGAGAAGTGAAGAGAAAATAGCTAGTTTCACGGAACAGCAAAGAAACTCACGCTTTGATCACTGGAAGCATGCTCTAAGTTTGAGGCAACGTTTTGATGCTTCCTTCGTCGCGAATCTCACTTCCAACAAGAGCTTTCAATCCTACAAACGCAAACTCCACGACATTTGCGGCGAGCCAGATGATCTTTCGCAAACCGAGAGCTAACTTTCTAGCTCCTCGCGAAAAGAAAGAAGCTTGCCATGTTTTGCGAGGAGCTAGAGGGTGGTGTTGTGACCTCTTATGCCGAGTGTGGCCGAGCAGCAAACTAACTCACGATTTTATCACACCCCCAAAGTTTAGGAACAACGATTCGACGCTTTCTTCGTCGCCACATTCACCTCCAACAAGAGCTTTCAATAATCATACAAAGCGCGAACTCCACGACATTGTTGTTTACTCGCGGTGATCCAGATGGTCTTTCGCAAAACCTTACAAAGCCACGATTCAAGCTATCGAAAGCGAAAGCTCTTCACAGATCATTTTCTGTTTTCGAATGTCAAAACGTACTTTGAGAGTGTTCGACACCACTGTTTTCTCTTCTTTTATTTTACTCGCTCTGTTGACAATTTGCCTCCTCATCCACTAGAGCCATATTCTATTCGATTTGATCGCGAGAATATAATCAAAGCCGCTGGTCTTTCCTTCCAGCCTCGATCGAAGACTCTCAGTTGTGTCAGTGCGACTCTTTCGAAACAAAGAAAAAAACACACAGGATATGATCCTACACACAAGATGACGAGGAATTCACAACATCGGGAGCACAGTAGTGCTACTGGTTGGTTTTGTTTGGTGGTTTGGACTCCAGCGAATCGTGAATTGGTGGCCGCGCACACGCAAAATCTCTTTTTTTTTTTTGGTCTTTTTCTTCCGTGCTCCTTGTCAACATTCTTGGGCTTGATCTCGCTCGCATCAGCGTATATTTCCACTGTACCGGCGAGCCAGCTCGAATCGGCCCACCACAAATCCGAATGGTCACCGCCAACTTCCAAATCTCCCAGAGTTTCTCTTTCCTCCCCGGTTTTTTTTTTCTTTTTTTTTCATTTTTGCTCTCTTTTCTTTGGTTTTCCTTGAGGATAAAATCCTTGACTTCATGCCTCGCTTTTGTTCCAATAATGCAGAGATGTCCGCACTTTATTGACAAAAATGTGCACTCGGCGATGAGCGCAGAGTTACTCGCGGCTCGCCCGCCCGAAAAAAAGAAAAAGAGAGATTTTTAAAGAAAATCTAGGCGTGAAGATTTGGAAGACGGAAAAAAAACAAAAAAAGAACAAGCTGCGTGTTGATCTTGCAATCCGGGAGGAAAGCGAAAGCTGAAATGACCCTTCGACTTTTAAAGCTTTTGTGTTCCTGGGGAAGAAGCAAACGAGGTCAAGTTGAGAGGAGCTCACCGACGGGTGGATCAATGTCTAGAACTAGATAAGTTTCACGCCCACAAAGCTCTTCGCATGGCTCGCAAGATCCTCCGCGCTTCCTAGGAGATAAGCTTCCCCAAGAGCTCGCTACATCCACAAAGTTCTTGGCATGGCTCGCAAGATCCTCAGCACTTCACCTCCACCGGAGGACTCGCGGAGCCCGCTCCACATCTCCTCGTACAGCCTCCCATCCGGCTCCCGGATCCCCAAGGTGATGATCGCGGTGGTGGCGGGATTCGTGCTCACCACCGCCATCATCTATTACACTTGCAAGTGGGTCTTCCGCAAGAAGTGCCCCGACGCCACCGACGCCACCGCCGCCGCCTCCGGCGCCCCTCCGCCACAGCCGGACTCGCTCGAGGAGCTCCAGGCCCGGGTCACCAAGAGCCTGGCGCAGCGCCTGGGCAGCAAGATCGCCACGGCCATCCCGACGGTGAGCTACGCGGAGCTGGCGGAGTTCCGCGCCAGGGGCGATCCCAGCGGTGGCGCCGCCGCCGCGGAGGCGGAGGCTTGCGCGGTCTGCCTCACGGACTTCTCCAAGAACCCGGCGGGGACCAAGATCAAGATCCTGCCCAAGTGCGCGCACGCATTCCACTGTAGCTGCATCGATCTGTGGCTCATGACCCACGCCTCGTGCCCGATCTGCCGCGCCAGCTTGTTCGTAGCGCTGGCGGACCTAAATGCCTGGGCCTCTCGCGGCGGCGCCTCCTCTTCCCCAACGCCGCCGCCGCCGCCTCCAATCGAGCATCGTCCTCCTCTTCCGCCCGAGCGCCGCCCCGAGGATCAAGGAGGCGTGTGATAGTGTCCGAGAATCCCTAGATCTGTGAGGATTGGCTTTCACCCGTGTTCCCCGGCATCGAGACAGAGCATGTTGGAGACCAGGATATGGGATGCCGGGGAATCTCCAGCATTCCAGGATCCAGTGGCGGCGGCGGCGATGGCGGCGGCACGGGAGCCCAGCTGGAGCTCGCCGTGGATTCCACACGCCGCCAGTAGCGTCTTGGCGGTGGTGGAATCGGGCACGAAGGGCATTGCGCCCATGAGCTCGAGCGCGCGGTCCGTGTGGCCGGCCTTGCCCAGCGCCGCGATCACGCAGTTGTAGTGCTCGATCGTGGCGGCGATCTGGTGGTCCGAGATCATGGATTGGAAGAAGAATCGCGCCTCGCGCAGGGATCCGTGGTGGATGCAAGCGCCGAGAATTGCGGTGAAGGTGAGGTCGTCGGCAATTGCGCCACCCTCGAGCTCCATCACGCGTGCGCGGTGGAAGCTCGCGGCGGGCAGCCCCGCGTTCGCGTAAGCGGCGATCGCGGCCGTCCATGAGATGGAATTCCGCTCCGGAATGGACTGGAAAAGAGACTCGGCAGCCGCCGGATCCCCCGAGCGGGCATACGCTGCAAGAACAGAGTTCCAGCACGAAAGACTGCTCTGCGGCATTCGATCAAGCACAGATCTCGCAAGAAGTGGACAGTTGTTGTCGGAGTATGCCGCGCCGATTGCGTTCCATGACACAGCGTTTCTGCAGCACATCGATTGAAAGATCTCTTGCGCTTTCTGGATTTGCCCTCTCTGGGCATGAGCCGTAATCAGCGACGTCCACGAGATCGTATCTTTCGCAGGCATTCTCTCAAGAACTGCTGTGGCCGAGGACAACATCCCGTTTTCTATGTAGACATGAAGAATTGCGTTCCAGGAGACGATGTTCCTTTGCGGCATCTCATCGAAGACTTTCTTCCCATGAACCACATCTCCGCCAGCGGCAAAGGTGGCAAGAAGCGCAGTTGAGGAGCAGATATTGTTCTTGGGAATCATCCGGCACAGAGCCTTTGCAAGATCAATTTCAGAGCACTGCGAGCACGCAGCGATCATCGAACACCATGACACGTCGCTCTTTTCTGGCATCAAATCAAACACCCTTTTGGCGCCGACTATATGCCCAGATTGGGCATACGCAGTCACCACAGCCGTCCACGCCACCACATTCCATGCGGGCATTTTCTCCAGAACGTCCCAAGCGCCATCTCCTGCGTACGATGAAATCATGGCCGTCCACGCGACTACATCCCTTCCAGACATTCCGGCATAGAACAATCTCCTCGCGCAAAGGAACCGGCCGTGCTTCACATAGGCTTGGATCAAGCTTGTGACTGCAATGGGATTGCTCTCCGGAATTCTTTCTAGAATGGCAGTGGCATCGTCTATGAGACCGTGTTGGGCGCAGCACTGAACCACCGACGCCCACGAGACCGAGTCGGTCTCGGGCATCTTCTCGAAGGTAGTCCGAGCTTCTTGTGGACGCCCAGACTGGGCATATGCAGCAATCAGCAAGTTCCAGGAGAAAACGTTTCGATTGTTTCGTCCGTGGAAGATGAACTCTCCAGCTTCTAAATCACCACACCTCACAAACATCTGGATGAGGAGATTGTGCAAGTAAGTGTTCTTGCTGTGGACAATGGCATTGTAAATCTGCCAACCTTGATTGATATCTATACACTTTCTTATCAAGCTCGCAAACTTTTGCATCACATTCTTGTGACAAGAGCTTTGTGTCTAGACTTTAATCTCTATGGTTCTAGTTTGCGACATCAAAGTGATCGTCCCAAGCGCTCTCATTGTTTGCAAAGCTTTTGTGGAGATCAAAAGCCCAGGTGTTTGAAAGCAACACGTAAGAAGACGTGAGCCCCGCATCGATGGTGAAAACTCTCCTCGCAGCGGCCTGGCCGAGTTTGATCTCCCCTTGCATCGAGCAAGCGCCGAGAAAGCTTGTCCATGGAGCAGTGTGGCTTTGCTCGGGCATCCGGCGGAGCAGCTCCCCGGCCTCCTCCAGCCGCCCTACCCGACACAGAGAATCGATCACACACCCGTAGTGGCTGCGTAGTCTTGGGAGGCCGCGCTCGCCGAGAGACGCAAAATGGTGCCAAGCCTCGTCCAGCCTCCCGGCATGGCTGCAAGCAAAAATTACTGCCAAGATGGTCACCTCGTCCGGCCTATCACCCTCGAGTTCCATCAGCGAGAAGAGCTCCAGCGCCTCCGGGGAAGCGCCGTTCTGCGCATTCCCAGCGACGATTGCGTTCCAAGACATCACGCTCTTGCACGGCATTTGCAAGAACAGCTCCTTCGCTTCGTGGAGCTGCCCGTTTTGGGCATATCCGGCAACGATGGCGTTCCACGAAACCAGATCCTTCTCTGGCAATCCATCAAACAATGCCCGAGCTTCGTCCATATACCCGTTTTGAACATACAGAGAGATCATCGCGTTCAAAGACACAATGTTCCACTGCGCCATCTTTTGGAACATTTCGAACGAAATCTCCATGTTTCTGTGCTGGCCATACGACGCCGCCAGCGTCGTCCACACAACCACGCCTCTCCCGCTCATGGAATCAAAAAGCATCTTAGATTCCTCAAAATGCCCGGCTTGGGCATATGCTGCGATTATGAAACCCCAAGATATTGTATCTGCCTCAAGCAAGCGATCAAAGAGCTGTCTAGTCTCGGAAAACTCACCACGGATCGCGTACGCTTCCATCATCACATTGAACGAGACGACGTCATGTTGGGGCATCATCTCGAAGAGCTTCCTCCCGGCATCCAAATCCCGCCTCGCGCTAAATCCCGACACCAGCATCGTCCACACAACAATGTCGCGATCGGGGATCGCCCAAAACAGCCTCACCGCGTCGCCCATCTCGCTCAACTTCACGAGACCGGAGAGCATCGTGGACCAGGTGACGGAATTCGAGTGAGGCATGAGGTGAAACACGGATCCGGCGTCCTCGATCCTCGAGTTTTGGACGCACGCCGACAGCATCATCCCCCAGGCGACGACATCCTTGAACGGCAAGAGATCAAAGAGCTCTCTCGCTCGCCCAAATTGCCCGCTTCGTGAGTAACCATCGAAGAGAGCGCCCCAAGAGAAAACGTTCCTCTCCGGCATCGCGTCAAAGCACTGGTGGGCAAAATCCAGGTCTCCGGAGGATGCAAATGCTCCGATCAGGACGTTCCATGTCACCTCGTTTCTCGCCGGCATGGAATCAAACAATCGACGCGCTTGGAAAAGATGCCCAGACCGGGCATATGCCGTTAGCATGGCTGTCCAGGACACCACGCTTCTCTGGGGCATCTTGGAGAATAATTTACTCGTATCTTCAAGTTTTCCGTTGTTAGAGAACCCAACTAAGATCGAGGTCCACGAGTAAACGTTTCTCTGATCCATGGATTGAAACAACGCGAGCGCCTTGATCAGATCTCTGCTTGCGGCAAATGCATGGATCATGATGTTCTGCGCAATTGCATCCGCGTAAGGCATAGAATCGAAGAGGCTTCTCACGTCGTGGAAATGACCAGATTGAGAGCAAGCGCTGAGGAGCGTCGTGTAAGCCACGAGATTTTGTTCGGGCATTTTGTCAAATATCTGTTTGGCCTGCAGCAAATGCCCGTTTCGGGCAAATGCCGCAAGCAGGAAGTTCCACGAGAACTGGCTCGTGCTGCCGCGGAGGGCGTTGAAAACCGCGAGAGCATCGCCAGGCGCGCCGCATCTCCCATACATTTCCACCAGACGATTGGCGAGAAATGTGCTGCAGGATTGGCTGCTGGATTGGATGAGCCTGTGGATCTTGCGCCCCACGGCCAGGTCCCGTGCCGCCCCACACGATTTGATGAGCTCGGCGTAGTAGCCAGTAAGATCGTCCGCCTGACCTTTGGAGCGCTTGGAGGACCGAGCCAGTGACATTCTCGGGTCTCCTCCATGACTTTCAATACTTCATCATCCCTAACAGTTTTACTGGAGTCTAATGAGTCAGTCCCTGAAGTAAAGTGCCAGCTTTTGTGAATGACCGCCACGACTTTCGTCCGTAAAAGAGAAAAGAGAAAAGTGATGGCTGAGCTATTTTGCTCTTTGCTGTATGTGGAGCATCTCATTGTACAACAAGGACTTTGAAGATTCCAAAGGTGTTTGTCGTGATGCAAGGTCTGACGGTTGACGGCCTCTAAATATATTAAAAAAGCATCCAAAAAGAGTTGATGAGAAGTCACATTGGCTTAAATAGCGAGTGACACAAACTCCTTGCTCTAGAACTGTTGTTCTAGTGAAGTTCCAAGGTTTTCATGGCTACTTGTGATCGATGAACGCGGCCGCCTATGCCCGGCTCATCAAATCCTACACCGTCTCTCGCGATCTCGTCCAGGGCAAGTGCGTCCACGTCCAGATCCTCCACTCCCATCTCGCCACCAACACCTTTCTCGCTAATCTCATCGTCGAGATGTATGGCAAATGTGGTAGCCTGGGCGATGCGCGAGCGGTTTTTCACTCCCTGCCCTCGCCCAATCTCTTCTCCTGGAATATCGTCATCTCGGCGTGTGCCGCGAATGGGGATTTCTTCGAGGCCATGCGCCTCTTCCACGCCATGCCCGAAAAGACCCAAATCGCAGCCACTGTGATGATCCGTGTCTATACAGAGCTTGGTCACATAGAAGAAGCAAGGTCTATTTTTGAGAATTTGCCACGGCGAGATCCAGTATCCTGGACTTGCCTGCTTCAAGCATATGCCACACAGGGGCATCCAGTGCTGGCAAAACTTCTTTTTGACAAGATGCCCGAGTGGGATGTGGTGTCATCTACGGCAGCGATGGGTGCTTGCGTACACTGTGGCTTTTTGGGTGACGCAAAAGTTATGTTTGATCGTATGTCAAGACGCAATGTAGTCACTTGGACGACACTTATTTCAGCAAATGCCTCTATTGGGCATTTGCTATATTTTGCAAGAGAAGCGTTTGATCGAATGCCTGAGAGGAACATCGTCA